GGTGTATGTACCTGGTAGTATGGTACTGAACCTGACAATCCGTATAGGTTTTTTTTTTTTTTTTTTTTGTAACTGTAACCTGAATGGATAAAACCGTATGGCATATGGAAATATGGCATAGACCAAGCTTATCTTAATACGTACAGTATATGTGAAAAGTAAAGTGCTGTGATGTGTAAATATTAAACATCGTAGCCATACTGGTTAAATATGTATCAGTCTTAACCCATTAAGTGCCATATGTACAAGTGAAAGTGATCTGTCACCACCTTGTATGTTGTATGACCCCTTGCTAGGGGAAAGTCTGTTGTGTGAGCAGCGTGCTGTGAAAAATGTATGTGAACTATATTACCAGTTACGTATATACAGATGCGTCTGCTACTGTGTAATAATATATGTATTTATACCAGATGTTGATATACTACTTGCTATGTGAATTGTTGTATGTCTTATTGAATGGTAGGGGTCAGTGAACATGGTGTTGCAAAATGCAAGTGCACTGGAGATCTGCCGAGTGCCCTATAGGTGTCAGTGTAGTTGGATACTGATTGGTATGTGAAATGTTGTTTGTCTGTTGACCTACAGGGGTCAGTGTTTTGGTGTTTGTAAAACCCCATGAAAATTGTCAATGTACTTGACAGACCTGTAGGTGGCAGTGTTGATAGAACCACTTTTGGTCTTGATGTGAAATGTAAATTATTGTGAATTAAACATGAAGCTGAACCTGTGCTGGAGTTTAATTTATGTTTTATGGTTATGTGTAAAACAATCTTATGTGTAATTTATATTGGCTGGTAAATTGTATATGACATGTGAAGACACTTTTGCTGTTGACCAGTAGGGGTCAGAAATGCTGATGGTATGGTAAAAATACCCTTTAATCCAAATGCAAGGTTAACGTGAGATTTTGACTGACCTGTAGTGGTCAGTGTGGTTTTTGTGAAACATTGTTTGTGAGCTATGCCCCAGCATTATAGTTGTATGACAGGGAAACAAACAGTGCCCGTTTGACAATATACAATATGTGAACATAATCGCTTAATAACAGTCATTGAAACGTGTGAAGTACAGTAGTAAATGCATGAATTAGTTCCCGTTTGGTAGAAAATTGCACGAACCGTGAGCCTGGTATGTCAGGGAAACAAAACGAAACGAGCAGTGAGATTCAAAATGCACGTACAGAATTGCCTAGTATGTTTAGGCAATTGAAACAGAATGTGTTCCCGTTTGGGAGTATGCTAATGCTCGAAATGAGCCAGGGACAGATATAAACAAGTGAGTTTAAACAAATGATATGCATGAACATGCAATGGTTTTAGAACAGACTTAGACAAAGGGACCTGACCCATGCATGGTGCCGTGGGACTGATGCCTGGCATAACTGGTAGGTCGACTTACGGTTTGTGAGTCACTTGGACAACATCCATGGCAATGGATTGAAGAAAGAAGGTGGTAGGCCGGAAAAGCCTGTGGCTGGATTCCTGACTCAGCTCAGCTTAGAAAACCGCATGGAGTAATCAGGTAAAATGGCTTCTGGATGACCCGGAAGTGGAAATGATTCTGATGCTGACCTCAAGCGATATGAGTCAGGTAAGGGGTGTCCCTTATATAGGGGAGTGAATTTAAGCCCCTCCCACAAATACAGGCCAAACGGCCTTAATACATATATATATATATATATATATATATATTGATTTTATTTTTTTCGACAATTTTACAACTTTTACCATAGTTTAGGCAATGACTTCTTTGCCTCTTTCCTTCAGAGCAAGGTGAGGAGAAGAGAGAGGCAGAGATAATGTCTCAAACAATTTTTCAAATCATTGGCTGAGACATTGGAACAGTGATCACAATGACAGGCTGTCACTGTGATCATGTGTTGCAGATCGCCATCATTGGCTGCAGGGGGACTGCCTCGTTTTCCAGGCAGAACCCCAGACAGTGATCACAAAATTATCACCAGAATCTACTAGTTTTCTTTAATATTTGTGTTATAAGTTATAGTTTGTTAGAACTGAGTGGGGGTCACATAGGCATCTTCAAAATCTTTTTCCCATCCTGTGGTCTGAGGTCCTGTGGTCTGAGTCAAACCTCATATCAGCAGCATTTAGTCAACCACTTGTGGATCTCAGCTATTATGTCCCAATTCAAATATGGACTGGAAGTCCCCAATATCCTGACTTATTAAAGTGCCACCCTATTCTTTACTGTGAATACAAGATGTTTAATCCCTGTGGTGATAAAAAGTACCAGTTCAAGATGCCCAATTCCTCTGGTATTACTATTTCTAAAATTGCCTAAAATCTTAAAAAAATTTAAAATTCAATAAAATAAGATATTTACATCCTTACATACTCCTAAATATGTATAGTTAAGAGTGTAACACATTCCATTGTAGAGTAACGGTGCTGTAGTAATTCTCCACGTATGCTTATTAAAATGCCAGGGTCTTCTTCTTAATTAGTGGGAATTGATGAACACCTTATTTTTAATGCACATACAACTCAATTATATAATTATTTATAACAATATATGCACTTTAATCATAAAATTAGAAAAATATATTCTTGACTCAAAAATGACAATTAAAATTCACCTTTGAACAAACTGTAACCCTACTTACTAACTTAAATATTCTACGATTAGATGTTGTTTAAAAATATGTACATCATTTGTAAAAACAATCTTTTTAGGAAGAGACTTTCACATCTTTCGCATTTTATTTCTTATGTTTGTTTTTTAGAAAAAAGACAACATTATGTTTCTGTTATGTGAATTAGTACCCATATATGCACTACATCATCATGCAGGCCTTAGCACCTGCTTACTGACATTCTTGCTTAGTTTATTATCTACAAATCTTCCCAAATCCACCACACTTATTGTTTCCTTACTTCAGCAAGATTTCCATGAATTAAGATTTCCTTTCCAAAATTAATACTTTTGAATTTATTTTCATTAAATGGTGTATGTTGCTTGACTGCCCCATCTCCTAAATTATCTATATCCATCTGCAGTGAAATAATTGACTGCTATAAATGTATTACTTTACCTAGTTTTGTGCTGTCTACAAACACAATGATCAATTTCCATTGCAAGTTCAGTAAAATGCAGAAAAAAAAAGAAGTAAACCAAGAACAAAACACTGAGGTACTATACTTACGCCAGAATAAGAATTATTTATTAAAACCAACTGCTTTTGATTGCTTTTAATTGGTGCAAGAACATTTTGTGCATCATATGCTTTAAGAAACTCTAAATAGGTCACACACCACTGTACCAGCCTAATCTATTCTTCTAAAGGCATCTTCATAGCATGCAATCAAGTTAGTTTTGTATTTCATAAAATGAAATTCATGTTGACTTTTACAAATAATTTTGTTAATAATGATTTTCTGAATATAATCCCTTAACTCCTTAACGCTGTTATGGCTTTCTATGCCGTCCCCATTATAATGGGCTTTAAAGCCATTGTGGTGGCATAGAATGCCATAACGGCTTAAGCCCCCAGGATGTCCGCGGTTATTACCTCCGCCGCGATGCTCTTCGGGAGGATTGCCTGACAGCCCAGGCAGCCCTCCCATGGCAAATCAGGCCCCCGGGGACCATGTGATCGCTCTCAAAGAGCGATCACATGGCCCCCTTTAGCTGGCTATGGATCTGCCAGCAGGGGGACTGTCTGGGCTGTCAGACAGTCACCCTGCTGGTGGGAAGTATGAAAAAAAGTATTATTAAACATGTTAAAATAAATAAAATGTATGTATGTGTGGGTGTGTTTGTGTGTGTGTATGTGTATATATATATATATATATATATATATATATTTCATAATGTATTTTAAGGTTTAAGGTTAATATAATTACATATATTAGTATTAAAATACACTTAGAATGAAGTTACATATATATAAGGATATGTATTTTATATGTGTATATATATATATATATATATATTTATACGTATAATTACAATGATAAAATGATAAAATAAATAAATAAAATATTTTTAATTTTTTTTTTTTTTTAAAGTGTATATATACATATGTAATTTCATTCTAACTGTATTTTGTTATTAATATATATTGGTAACAAAATACACTTAGAATGACATTCTATATATATATATATATCTATCTATATATAACATACAAATAACCGCAAATATATAGATAAATATATATAATTACATAAATTATTACATAAGTATACACGTAGAATTTAAATGCATATATATGTATATATTAAAATGTTACGTGTATATTTAAGAAATCTTTTAACATAATTATGTGATTTAATTAATTAAAATTTGATTGACGTGCCTGACAACCCAGGCAGAAAGTGCATAGAATTTAATTTGCAAGCACTATATTTAACCCTATAACTTTCCAAGACACCATAAAACCTATACGGTTTTACTCGGGAGACTTCCCTGAACACAAATATTGTAATTTTGTGATTCAAAATGATAAATTGTATTACAACAATGTTGTTTTCAGTAAAACTAAAGTTTTGTGCATTTTTCACACACACGTCACTTTGAAACACTTATGTTTGCAGGGGTCAAGTCCTGGGGAAAAAAGTGTGGGAACTCACCCAAGATCCACTCCCCCACCCCTCCACCCAAAAAAATATATATATTTCACAGAAAATTCAGTGCAACATTTATTGTAAAGTGCCAGTTTACACAAACAACTGCAAAATTCACATGCAATAAACAAATATATATAGAACAGTTGAAATGAATTAAATTAGCCATGCAATAAACAAATGAATATAGAACAGTTCTAACAACTGTGATAAAGTGAATGGTGTTGTTTGGGAGGGAGTTAACTTGTTAGTCAAACTAACAGAATAATCACCACAATGGGTGATCTTTCCCTCGCAGGGAATTTCTGAAACAAATAGTGTATACAAACTAAACACACAGCCCATTAGAAAATATCCCACAAACTGGAATAACGTTGCCCTTGCCGTGCAAGATTATCAACTTTTCGAGACTTAGTATCATCTGCGCTGCGATGTGTGGTCAGCCATTTTGTGACGTATGGTAAAGGATCCCATAAATGCACAGGAGGCCCAATGAGACTAATAAACAAAAGAGAAGACAGGCGTTCAATGCCAAGCCCACTCCTAATGGGTGACATCACCAAATTCATTGTACTGAAGCCCCTTTCACAATCACCGGATGTCACTGGAAGACTGTTAACTACTGTCACCACTGGTTTTAGATTTTCGGGAATCTCTGCACCACCATTATCAATGTAGTCTCTGAAACCTTCACAGATGGATGCATAGCTGAGAAGGAATCTTTTGCACAGCTGCTCCAGCTTCGCTTCACCTTCAAACCACGGACTGTCCACATTGATTGGCCAGGTCTGTTGCTCGCAGTTAAAGCAAAGAGTCTGGAGCGTAAATTATCCACCAAACTTTGATAAAATTGAGGGAGATTTATCCTCACTTGGCCTTTTGTACTCTCTGGATTGATGGTCACACCTTTGAAATTCCCTTTCTCCAGCGATTCCATTACTTCTTTCAGATGTTTGCCAGGCATGTCTTTCATTTTTTCAACGGCACGAACGGAACGATTAATCAGCTGATAGGCTCGTGGAAGTGTGATGTCATCTCTTTGTAGAGCTTCAGATAACAGTCCCATTTCCTGAACAGCATCCGCAACCCCTGCAAGGTTTAACAAATAATCTACTGATGTCAAGACCTTGTTAAGGCCACAAAATACAGATTTCTGCTTACTGTTATTAGCTGAACTTAAGCTTGCTTTCAAGAAATGACTGTGTAGGGCAGGATATGACTCCCAAACTGCTCGTATTGCTCTCTGGCTTGAAGCAACCCATCTAACTGAAAAAACTTTTCCAATTTTAAGAATTTGTACTTCTAATTCTTTTGCACATTCTGAGAGCTCTGCCAGATTTTTTGGTGAATGATGATACACAGCATACAACTTCTCAAAAAATGATGTTACATGATGAAGACCAGGAATAGAATCAATTGTATCTGAAATGCACAATTCAAGCCTATGACACAAGCAGTGCCATTTCACAATCTGTAGATATTTTTGACTGAGTCGTTCCAGAACACCCGACTTTCTTCCAAGCATTACACTTGCACCATCACTGCAAGACCCAATCCAGTTCTCGTTAAGAAAGTAATTACTAAACCCAAATTTAGAAAGACAAGCTAGAAGAGTGGCTTCAATAGACTGTGCATCTGCTTTAGGCAAATCAAGCAAATCAAGAAAGAAAGTGACTGGGTCTTTTCCGTTAACAGAGGCACGAATATAAACTATTAACACTGAATGGGTAGAAACTGTTGTAGACTCATCAATATAAACAGAAATTTTTGGAGCCTGCTCAACAATTGCTTTGCAAAGCTTTTTTCTCATTTCACTAGCAATGCAATCTATTATTTGTGCTGCTGTGTACTCACTATGGAGAATACATCCTAAGTCAGCTCCATTTGCAACCTGCAAGCTGATAAGATCTCTGAAGTCTGTGAAAGGGCGATTTTTTTTTCGCGTAAAAGTAGGCAGTGCGAAATACCTTAGTAGTGGATGCAAACTTATGCTTCTGCTGTTCAGCAATATTGGATTGCAGAATCTCCTTTCTGGATACTGCTTGGATATCTCCTGCCTTTACATGTGCTTCTGAAATCTTATGTATGTGGATTTTTTTACGTAGTGAGGTCAACATATCTTTTTTTGTTTTGCCATATGGTGTAATTGTACCAGTGGTCCATTCTTTAGAAATGGATACACCCTGTGAAACAGACACTCCAAGGTGTTTAACCTCGCGACACACTTTGCACCCTAAAAGACCATTGTCTACAAACAGCCAAGGGTACTTTTTTTAAAATTCTAGCCACTGATTCTGGTCCCAACATTCTGGAAGAATGTTATCACTGACATCGGCATCTTCAGCCACATCAGTAACCATGTCCACTACAGCCGATTCACTGACTGATGTAGTTTCTGCAGCGGACACCGCCTGCTGAAGCAAAGGCTCAGACTGAGTGGAGCAACTTGCAGAATCATGTGATTTTTTTATTGGATGCCTTCGTGAAGAAATCCGTAACGCTGCTTTTTCGTTTGCTCATTTCTGTACAAATAAAAACAAGAGTTGCGCACGCATTCAGCCGGTCGCATAGGAAAGCATTTACAATGCTTTCCTATGGACGCTGGTGTGCTCTCACTGTGAAAATCACAGTGAGAAGCACGCAAACGCCTCTAGTGGCTGTCAATGAGACAGCCGCTAGAGGCTTTGGGGAAGGCTTAACCCATTAATAAACATAGCAGTTTCTCTGGGTTAAGCCTAGCTGGACCTGGCACCCAGACCACTTCATTAAGCTGAAGTGGTATGGGTGCCTAGAGTGGTCCTTTAAAGAATTCCCCATTGTTTGGTTATTACTTCTTATTGTGAAAAACTCTTTTGTCTCTAGGGGCAGTGGTGGGGGTGGCCCAGTGACTGTGAGGTGTAGGGTAAGGCACAAATCAGCCCAATTGTATGAAATAAAATGAATCATTATTCTAAAAATTATTTAAAAAAAAAAAATGATCTAACAATTAGTCTCATATATTGGTCTCCAGTCCAGTGGATGTGACACAGATCTCAGTTATTTTACATATGGTTTGTGATTCTGTTTGCCACCCTTTAGTGACTGTGTTTTTTAAGCCCTTAAGGACTGAGCCAAATGTACATGTTGTGATCAAAACAAAATGTAAACAAGAACAGGAATTTGTGCTATATGTCTGTTCAGGTGTAATTCGCCTCTTCATATTATGTGCACCTACACTTATTATATATCATTTTATTCAGGGGAAACAGGGCTTTCATTTAATATCAAATATTTAGGTATGAAACATAATTTAATATGAATAAAATATAAAACAATTGGAAAAAAATAAGAATTTTAAAACAAATCTTCTACGTGACATTTTAATTGTGTCATAATACTGTTTGCTTTTACTGCAATAATACAAACATATTTGTATTCACCGATGTCTCACATGTAAAACAGTACCCCCATGTACAGGTTTTATGGTGTTTTGGGCAGTTACAGGGTCAAATATAGCATGTTAAATTTTTTCTACTATTGCAAATGGTTTTTGTCTACTTTTGCAAATGGTATGCCATCATGGGGGTAATTTTCATTCTTAAAAGGCAAATTTCAATTAGAAAAAAACTGAAACGCGAGCCTTATATTTGACTCTGTAACTTTTGAAAACCCCATAAAACCTGTACATGAGTGGTACTGTTATACACGGGAGACTTCGATGAACACAAATATTAGTGTTTCAAAACAGTAAAATGTATTACAACAATTATATCATCCGTGTAAGTGCTATTTGTATGTGAAAAATGCAAAAAAAATTCACTTTCACTGACGATATCATCACTGTAATACATTTTACTGTTTTGAAACACTAACATTTGTGTTCAGCAAAGTTTTCCGAGTAAAACAGTACCCCCCATGTACAGGTTTTAGGGTGTCTTGGAAAGTTACAGGGTTAAATATAGTGCTAGCAAATTAAATTCCCTGGATTTTGGCCTGGGTTGTCCGGTAGGTCCCACAAATTGTAATTAGTTAAAATACCTAATTATGTAAAATTATTACATAAATATATACGTAGAATTATTTTATATATATATATATACACACGTGTGTATATATATATATCTATATATAATTTTTTTAAATTGTTTTTATTTATATATAGGTATATATATATATATAAATATATAGTTATGTATATAGATGTATATATTTTGTTCTACGTGTATTTTGATAGCAATATATATTAATTTTAAATTTAATTTTTTAATTTTATTTTTTAACGTATTTACATATTTATTTTATATTATTTATAAATATATATAATGAAAACTATATATATATTTAATCAATATCATTGTACGTGTACTTTGATATATATAATTATATATATTAATATCAAAATACACTTAGACATGGATGGTTTGGGCGTTCTATGCCGCCCTCCGGCATTTAGAGCCGCTTCCCTAAGGACAGCATAGAACGCCCGCCGTCCTTAAGGGGTTAAACAAATGTGGTGATATTAGGGTTATTTGATTTATTTTTACACTAGCCCCCCACCCCCTCCATCCACCCTTCTCCAACCACCCAGCCCTCATCTCCATCCACCATCCCCCCCTCTCCAACCACTCAGCCCCCTTCTTCAACCACCCAGCCCCCATCTCCATTTACCCTACCCCCCTCTCCAACCACTCAGCCCCCATCTCCATTTACCCTACCCCCCTCTCCAACCACTCAGCCCTCTCTCTCCAACCACCCAGCCCCCATCTCCATTTACCCTACCCCCCTCTCCAACCACCACAGCCCCCATCTTCATCCACCATCCCCCCCTCACCCCCTTCTTTAACCACCCAGCCCCCATCTCCATTTACCCTACCCCCCTCTCCAACCACTCAGTCCCTCCCTCTCCAACCACCCAGCCCCCATCTTTATCCACCCTACCCCCCTCTCCAATTACTCAGCCCCCCCTCTTCAACACCCAGCCCCCATCATGTACTTACTTTTCTGAAGACTATGGGGTGCTGGCTGGCTTGGCCTCAGGTGTGCTCCCTCCTTCTCACCGTCACGGTTGCCGACACGACATGTGACTCCGCCTCCGCGTGATGTCACAAAACTCCGCGTACGCAAAGGGCAGTGGAGGTCGGAGGAGGAGCAACCCGGAAGTACGTCCTCCGCTCCTGAGTCCTGACTCCTTCACTATGCGATGCCGCTCGCTCGCATAGTGAAGGCTCTTCTCAGGAGGAGCACCGGCTGGGCTCAAGAGGCTGCTGCCCTGGTCCTGCAGGAGCAAAGGGAACAGCGTTCCTGCCATGGAAAAAGTGCAGGAACGCCGTTCCCACGCGTTCCTGCAGGACTCAAGCCCTGTATGTTTGTGTTCAGTGAAGTCTCCCAAGTAGAACAGTACAGGTTTTATTGTGTTTTTGAAAGTTAGAGAGTCAAATATAAGGCTTGCATTTCATTTATTTCACATTGAAATTTGCCAGTTTGGTAATGTTGCCTTTGAGACCATATGGTAGCCCAGGAATGAGAATTACCCCCATGATGGCATACCATTTGCAAAAGTAGAAAACCCAAGGTATTGCAAAGTTGGGTATGTCCAGTCATTTGTAGTTCACACAAAAACAAATATGAACGCTAACTTTGGTCAGTGTTTGTGACTAAGAGGCTACTAAAAAAGACTGGACATACCACACTTGCAATAACTTGGGTTGTGCACTTTTGCAAATCGTGTGCCATCATGGGGGTAATTCTCATTCCTGGACTCCACACAGTCTCAAAGGTAACATTGCTAATCTGGCAAATTTTAAAGTGAAAAAAATGAAATGTGCTATATTTGACCCTGGAACTTTCCACAACACCATAAAATCTGTTAATGAGGGTTACTGTTCTACTTGTGAGACTTTTCTGAATACAAATATGCGCATTTTATTGCAGTAAAAGCTAATCGTATTTTAGCTGTAAAGTTCAGGCAGAACAACATTTTTTTTTTTTAAATCTTAAAATCTCATTTTTTTTAATATTATTCATAATAAATTATGTTTCATGTATGAAAAGTTCATGAGTAATTAAAGCCCTGTTCTCCTGAACAAAATTATATATAAAAAGTGTGGGTGCACTTAATATTTAAGAGGTGAATTAGGGTTGAACGGACATATAGCGCAAATTCACTTACATTTTGTTTTGATCAGAACATGTACTATTGACTCCATCCTGAAGGGGTTAATAACCCTTCAAATAGTTTTGCATACATGTATGTTAAGCGAACAGGTCTGCAATTTGAAGGCTGTGATTTGGATCACTTTTTGCATATGGGGGCATATTTAATTTTCTTCATTCCTTTTGTGTGATTCCTGTAAGAAAATAATCCACATAGTTTAAAAAAGTGGTTGTGCTATTTCTACAATGGGCTCCCCATGGGTTATTACCAGTTTGCACTGGGACTTTGTTTATTTACTTAAGTGCTCTAGCACTTTATCCTGGCTTATCAAATCAAGGAATGATAAAGATTGAGTGGTTGATATAATTGGGTACAATCAAGATGTGCAGGTCTTAAAGCTTAAGGAGAGCAGACACCAATGCAATAATCCCTCTGGTTCCCACTTTTAGAACTTTAGGCCAGTTTTCATAACACTAGATATCCACTGGATGTGTTAAATGTGCAGCAGACCCAATTAACATTTGAAGTACTTAAACATTTAATAGATCCTAAATAGGCCCATAATAAGGATTACCAACTACAAGAACATTAAGATACAAATATGGAAATGTTTAAATTAAATACTAAATCTACCCTTTTGTTAGGTAGGGTTGGGTGTTCATTTAAAATATACATTCATAAGAGACCCAAAGCCCTTGTTGGGTGGGTTGTGGATAGAAAAAAAGAATAGCTTTGAGCTCTAACTTTTCACTAAAGTGAAAATTCAGGGTTAATTGAAAGTGAATTTAAAGTGTAAGGACAAAATAGCCAAACTGGAAAAATTCTCTAAGAGTAGCTTTCAGTTGAGCTACTCTGCTCTTAAATATGAAATTCACTTTGGATTGTCTCTCTAGTAAAGAAGCTTGTGAGAGTTAACATTAAATTAATAGTAAGAGTAAAGTACAAATTAAGTGTTTCATTGTAAATAGCACCAAGTGAATATAGAATTCTAAAGAACCTGAATGCAGACTATATAACCAGCTTGAAAAAGGAGTTTTGAACAGTTTTCCAAACAAAGGCGTATGACTACATGCTTCATTCTAAATTATTTGTTCTGTACATTTCAAATCTGTTTTTTTTATTAATGTGAACCTTTGAGATGGCTACAAATATCTGTAGGTATAAGTAACAAAGAAGTGACATCAAGAGAATTGTAAAGCTCCTTGTCTGTCTCTGAGGCTATTACACACCTTGTGCTTACAATAGAACAGAATGTAGAGTATTGAAGTGAATTTTCAATTTTATCCATGCTCTGATTTCAGGACTGAATTCTATCAGAATGCTAATTTCAAAAGAATTCATTTCTGGTGGTAGCTGTTTGTATTAATGGTTAGTTGCCTTATGTCAACAAATTGACCATGTCCTTGCTGTTTCAATTTTTATTATAGTACAAGATAGACACTGTTTGCTTAGATTGGTTGAATGGAATACAATATTTAATCTTTTCATAGTAAGTGGAAATATTACAGAACATATTTATAAAACTTTCTATGTTGATGCATTAATAACTATTGTAATATCTTAGTGTCTTATGCTAAATCACAGAAACATAATCACATTTGCACACATTAAAAACTTGTAGTTAATCTTCTATAACAGTTTATCAGCTACAAAACAGACTTTTTTTAAGGGGAAGATTTTATTACCTTTATTTCCTTTCGGTAAAACTGTTATTGTTAAAATATTTACACCTTTCCAGATAAAATAAAAAATATATAATATAATAGTATCTGAAAAGAACATTTTGTGTTTCATGTACATTTTTATTAAACTGAACTGCAAATAGTGCGACATATAAAAGTGTTACAAAGACATTAAATGATGATGTGAAAATGAAAGACATTTAGGAGTCAGAGATATTTCACATTAGAAACAAGTGATACAAAACATTTAACACACAATTAATAAAACCTGGAGAAATTAGTTTAGAAAATAGTAAAGTGCCAAAATACATCACCGACATGTTGTGCACATTTACATTGATAGACTTAATACATTTGACAAATATTTTGAATTGCATGGATAACTTCCATTCTTGTTTTCTTTTTCTTTACACAATCCCACTCTAAAATAATCCATTATTAGAAATAGATGGATAGATAGATAGATACAAGTGTATTATTTTTTCAAATGTCATGCTTCATAATGGATGATAAAAAAAATCAACCATTAAAAAAAAGCACTATACAGAGTGATTCACACAGTGCAGTGTCAGAGCCTCTAATCATAAAGCAGCTCTAGGATGTAAATGTACTGACCAAAATTAGTTGGAGTTAAACTTCTTGTCAGTGTTATGTGTAACTCCCCCCATTAGTTCAGTCCCTATTTTTTTCTAGGGCAGGAGTAGGCAACTTTTCAGTAGTACTGTGCCAAAATAAGATTTTGAAGTCTTGGCGTGCCGATCATCTGTTTTAGAATTGAAGTGTGTATGTTGCTGTACTTTCCTTGTGTTATTTACTGGTGCTGCAGTTGCTTTGTAGTGTTGTACTTGTGCATATGTGAGTTGCTATATTGTAATATATACGTTCATGAGTAGTTTGTGGTATTGTATATGATCCCTATGAAAGTGGGCTGTGTCTGGGGGCTGATTGTGTAATATGTCAAAATGTGTGTTTGGTGTGTGTATGTGTGGGGCTGCTTAGGGTACTGCATGTGAAAGGCTGCTTGTGGGGTTGTGTGCATGTATGTGGATTGTCAGTGGTGTTGTGGTTGTGGAGATGTGCTTGTGTGTGGGATGTTTATATTATTTGTACGAGGGAGAGGCTGATTCTGAAGATCTGTGTATATCTAGCAGTGTGGCTGGCTTTCCTGGAGTCCAGTGGGGAGGTCAGATAAAGGTCAAGGGCAGGAGCTGCAATATTTTCTGCAGGCTGCTCTAATCCAGGGTGGATTCCCATTCACAAATTCTGGGATAAAGTGATCTGAGGTTACTTCCTATAAGTGCTGAAATGCGTAAATTGAGGATTCCCCCTAACCTCTTAGTTTGCATTAAGGACTCTTGATGGACCAGAGCCAGTTAAGGTTTGGCAGCCTTGAGTACCGTTGAAAAGCACCTTGAGTGCCATGCATGGCAAACGTGCCATAGGTTGCTGACCCCTGTTCTAGGGTAACTCCAAGTAAATTGTGCTTTGAGCCTGTGTGTGTGGCAATGTATCATTTGGCACCATTTTCCTGCCCAGAACAGGATTTCCAGACTGGTTAACATCAGTTCAGTGCATATATTAAAAGGCTGCTAAAAGCGCACACAGCTTGCTGGCAACAGACTTCCAATGTTGACAATTTTAGCTTCATTTAATTTTATACTTGGGGAATGAAGGAACGGTACAGTAAGGTTTACGCTGTCCACAAACAATGCTTTATTAAAACAGACTTTTCTTTTTTGGTTGGAGTAACACTTTAATGATCTGCTGGGAAAGGAACTGAAGATAGAGACAAAGAGGTTTTTTTTTCATTTTAGGGTGAATTCTTGAAAACTGAATAGGAATTCAAAGGTAAAACAGCCAAATTAGAAAAATCCTCTAAGGCAGCTGTTTTCTGTTATTTTAACCTAACGTTTTAAATTCACTTCAAATTTGTGTCCTCCACACTTTAATGGATTACACCGGGATACTGGGTAATACTCTTCCGCCCCCACTCCTCCCCTGGTATATCAAAATTTCATTTACATCAGGCTCAGGCTGTCTGAAATGGTAACCTTGTCATTGACCCTAACTCCCGCCTTACATTTATTTATAGCTCTAATCTTAACTCCTTAAGGACACACGGCAGACATTTTCCATCATGGTGGCATTTTGCTTCTGAAGCTGTGTCCTTAAGGGGTTAACATGACCCTAAAACTCTCCATAACCAACATTTCAAAACAACTATGTAACATAAGATACATAATGTGAAAGTGTGCATTAGGGGAGAATAATGCAGAGTTCTAGCGACAGAAGAAAAATTATATTTTCCTTATCTATTATACATAAATAAGTAGTGGTATTGGTTGGAGATATATCACTACTAAAAAAGGGATGAAAGATTGAGAAAAAGATAGGTTGTAGTGAATGATCAAAAGTGTTAGCGATGTAATGGTAAAAAATTACTTTTATTTCTAAGTTTTAAAATAGTATAGAAATTCCTGGTACTAGTATTCTAGAAGCCATAGAGTGTAAGCTCCAGGGCAGTGTATTGGTCAAACATAAAGGAAATATAACAAATAAACAAAGAGTTAAGCAAAAGAATATCTTAGGGAGATATTGCAATTATTAGTAAAGTTTCTCCAATGTTGCAATTTTCTCACTGCTGAATGCTCTGATGCTGATCTGAGTGAAACCTTTTGTCTGGTGACAGCATGTAAATCAGAACTAGGACTCGACGCGCGTTTTCCCTGCAACAAGTTTTCCAGGGTCACCAGGAGTGCTAGGACCAGCACTCCTGATGACCCCGGGCAAACGGTAGCCGGGAGAAACGCGCGTTGAGTGCAGACTGATGTGGCTTTTTGCTCCTGAAGGCTTTTTCACTTAGACTCTACTTTAATAACAGATAACTTTTTAGCCTCTGGTCCATTAGGGAATTACTTCACTTGATTACCCTAGGATATCTTTTAGATATACCGTTGACAATTAGAATTTCTGCTTTTTTTCAGAAAATGGGGCTTAAAACATAGAGGGAACAAGTTTCGGCTGCCAAATATGTAGAGACATATAGTTTGGCAATATATTAGACTATACTAGGGACCAACCGGCTCTTGCCTGGAATTGATTCAACTATAATCAGTACTAGACCCTGTCATGCCAAAAGCATGAGTTGGTGTTTGATGTGTGTTTATATATGTTAAGAGTAGTTTTTTTGTAAACCTTGGGATGACATTTATTGTGGTCTTTGATCTTGCACCAGGCCTAGACCATAAAACATCTAGATAGCCATCACCAGAGCTGGACACAAGGAATTTCATAGAGTGGGCAATAGACTGCCAGACCAACCCCCTCTGATCCCCCCCAGGGGTCTGCCCACTGAGAAACAACTAGTTTAGATATATGAGGGTGTTGGACTATCCAGGGAAGTCAGTTATTCATTTTTCTTTTGTCAGTAACTTCTAGGAGACCTATACCATCTAAGACTCCCACAAGAATTCTATATGGGGTAAATATATGTAAGGAATTTCTTGTGTTTTCTCCTATTTTATTTTATGTACTGTTTTGCAATTTGTTATCTGTATGTCATTTATTTCTGTATTTTGTACTCAGCACTGTGAATCCTTTTTGTCAGATTAAATGTTTACTTAATCAGCTTGTGTCTCTGTTCTCTATGAGCTTCACTCTCCAGAGGAAAGCTCAGGTAAACACGTTACCAAAAAGGGGTTAACTATATATGTTTTATCAGTAAAAGTAGAACTGTGATACTATAATTCTCCTGTGTGTGGGGTAACCTAAGACGCCCGGGTTTAAAAGTCTTGGTGGTGGCAGTCAAGTGTACTAAGGGAGTTAGTGTAGAAGGGATTGCAGGGGTTAATTGAGTGGTTGCTGGGACTAGCAACAGGTAACCAGGGGTCTGGTGTCATTAACCCTGTCACTTCCACACTCTCCCCACTGTCTCGGCTGGGCCTATAGCCCACGCACGTGACAAACTGGCGGCAGCTAGTGGGATATATTTAGAGATTTTTAGTGCTTGCTAGATTTTACCTGTAAAGGGGGTCTTAGCACTAAAAGAAATTGCATACTTGTTTTTGTGTAATTTCCAAAGACCAAGCTCAGTGCTGATTTAAAATACATACAAAGTGCAAAACAGTTCTCCCCTCCCATCTTTTGTTTTTCTTTCTCTATCCTATTTGTGGATATGGAGGCCTATCGCAAACAATCAAAAGAGGCCTTGGAATTGTTGTGCCAAGAAAAGAATTTACCAACTTTTGGCAAAAATAAGGCACAACTTATTGCTGACCTTGTGGAGGCTGACAGCCATATTTTCCAGCCAGAGACGGACACTGAAAGGGTTACCGAGCTCCCTACTACTGCAGGAGTGTTGCTTACTGAAATGCCTGGTGGTTGTACCCCTCAAAACATTAAGGACATTTGCTCAACTGATTTATTTCGGCAACTGATGGCTGCAAATCCTCAGGAGGCCCTGCATGTGATGATCCAACAGCAGGCTGCAGAAAGGGAATCTGCAGAAAGGGAGGCACAAAGGAGACATGAGCTGGAACTTGCTAAACTGCAATTTACCCTTCAGTCCTCACTGAACAGCAATGCATCAGAGTCCAGCACACGTAGGCTCCGTAAGGATGATTTTCCTTCCCTCGAAGAAGGGACAGATTTGGATGTATTTTTAAAAAGTTTTGAGAAAGTATGCAGGCAGCATCAACTACCCTCAGACCAGTGGGGCAGATATTTAACTCCACAATTGAAAGGGAAAGCCTTGGATGTGTTTGTGTCCCTTCCCCCAGAGACTGATAACAACTATGAGGCAATCAAATCTGCATTGCAAAAAACTTTTAACCTTACTCCTGAGTCTAACAGGAAAAAGTTTAGGAGTATGCAGCAATGCCCATCATCCAGCTGCATTCTATATGTTGCACAATTAGAAACCACGTTCCGGCAATGGGTAACAGGAGTACAAGCTACTACCTATGAAGCCCTTAATGACTTACTGGTCCTAGAGCAGTTCTTGCAGACCCGGAGCCCTAATGTAAGAGAGTGGATTTTGGAAAGAAAGCCAAAAAATGCTAGGGCTGCTGCAGAATTGGCAGATGACTATGCAGACATCCATGCACCCACATCCAGGCGTGGACTTGTGTCAGCTGCTACTTCGACCTGGAGAGAAGCTACAGTTCAATCACCACTTGTAAGATCTGCAGTGAGAACTTCACCGCCGACTGCCAGCGTAGCCGGGGCTACGTCAAGTGAGTCAGATGCCCGCCGTTGTTTTCGATGCAACCAGATTGGTCATCTGAGCAGGACTTGCCCCACTAGGAATATGCCCTCACCAGTCCGTGGAGGGGCACCATCAGTTTTGCTTGTGGGTGGGTCCGTGGGGAAACGAGAGGATAACCTGCAGAGTGTAATTGTGGGTGACAGAGTGACCATGGGACTGAGAGATTCTGGAGCTTCCTTCACCCTGGTGCGCCCTGAAGTGGTGAATACGGAGGACATAATCCCTGGAAGGACCATGTCCATCAAAGGAATTGGGGGTGTGCGTCCCGCTGTGCCCTTGGCACGTGTGTACCTTGATTGGGGTGTGGGCAAAGGTTTGCGGGAAGTGGGGATTTCAGAGGATATCCCTGTTAATGTTCTGTTGGGGAATGATTTGGGCAGGATGCTCTGTCACTATGCTCCAGCGGACACTGTTTGTGAACCAGAAGGGCTGACTGCTCCACCTAAGGTATTGTGTGAAACTTTGGGAGACATTGTGAAGTGTGATTGCTGGGAGGGAGAGCAGGGTGTGGATAAATATCTACCTGTAACTGAACCAGTGATGTCTACCAAATGTGAGATAGGGGTGAGTAGTGATGTGCCTGTATTAAAATACTGTGAGGCTGGGATGTCAGAGAGTAAGGGGGAGGAGGAAGATGAGAGCCAGGGATGTGTACCATTAGTCGCAGTGGTAACAAGTCAACAGTGGGTCAGGGCTGCAGCAGGACAGTCTGAGGTGCTATGTGAGATTGTGAGAGGAGGGCCTGCCTTGGAGAAGAAATTATGTGAGTGTGTGCAAAATTCTGTATCTGATCAAGGGGGGTCAAATGTGTCCTGTGAAAATGTATGGGAAAAGCCTTCCAGCGAGAGGGGGCTGAATGAATATATGTGCCAATATGTGCCTGAAGCAGATGTATGTGATGTGGTGGGTGAAAATGTGAAGGGACAGCGAGGCTATGAGGGAGGGCAGAGGGTGTGTGAGCTTTACTCTGCGCCAGGCTTAGCCAGTTTCCAAAGTTCGGTATGTGTGATGACCTGGAGTGAAAGTGAGGGGCACGGACAGACTCAGCCTGTGGGTCCAGGAAGGATGGCTGCAGGGAAACATACTGTTGGAGGAACCAGGAACCTTGTCCGTTTATCACAACTCACGCATACACCTAAGCAACCTTCTGATTGTGAACCAAAGGTTCAGAGTCTGATAGTGCAACAAGCCCAGCAGACAGACCGCAAAATGAAAGAGATGATGGATGTTGATACAGCCCATCTATCCTGGGAGTGTTCTCTGTCTGCTTTTTTGTGTGCTTACCGGGGAGTGCTGCCACCCTCCTAACTCACAAAATCTCTCTAACTCCTTTTTCACTCTGATTCACATGTTGTTCACCAGATAACTATTTGCTCAGATTTATATGCTGTCACCAGACAATAAATTTCCCTCAGATTAGCATAAGAGCATTCAGCAGTGAGAAAACTGAAACATTGGAGAAACTCTACTAATTGTTGCAATATCTCTCTAAGAGATTATTTTGCTTAACTCTTTGTTTATTTGTTATATTTCCTTTATGTTTGACCAATGCACTGACTTGGAGCTCACACCACATGGCTTCTAGAATCCTAGTACCACGAATTTCTATACTATTTTAAAACTTAGAAATAAAAGTTATTTTTTACCATTACATCACGAACACTTTTGAGAGCTCTAGAGATGACACAGTAACCACATTCACAACACCCTATACAACCATTATGCGTTTAGTGCAATGTAAAATTCCTAAGTATTCGTGGAAGAAAGGAGAAAATAACGGCAATCAAATGTGTATCGGAAATTTCTAATATCCCTCAGGAATATAAAGTAGATTTCATTCAGCAGAGATGTTCCATGTTCTTATCACTCTGTTCAGCATTGTTCAAATGTTAGTGGTGAAAATTGTATACTGTACAAACATATACTACTTGTGCTCTAAACCACATAGAACAGAAAAATATACAACATTAAACAGCCTCTGACAATATTTTATAGGTATGATTGAAGAAAATAAACAACTTTTTTATACAATGATAATATATATTATTTACTATTCAGTCACTTAAAATGAATACATTTTTGATTATATATATATATATATATATATATATATTATTTTTTGTGTCTTACCTATGAAATGTCTAAAAATGGTTGTATTCTGCAATATTATTTCAACTCAATCGAATATACAACACAAAGGACACGCGTGCAACATGCTCAAGTTAACATGTGGTTAACTATCTTAAATGTGATGTCCAGAGTAATTGAGCCATTCCTGTATCTGTCTCCAAATTGCAAATTTATTACTGCTTTGTTTATATTTGTCTATATGTATCTAAATTATAATGTATTGTTAGAAAAAAATAAGCTTATTTCTTTAATGACAAAATATATTACATTTTCCATATGGTCACTGATAAGACAATTACATTTATTAGGAAAGATCTATGAATATATATGAATATATTTATGCAACTATATTTACACTGCAATCAAATGCACATATTACAATCAAAAGTCACTGACGAACACATCACAAGTGTTTATTTAAAATCAGACAATGTCAAGTGGTATTTATCATAAAATACTTTGTCCTGCACATCAGAGATAGATGTGGCATTTTTCTTTTGCTTGAACAATTTAAACCAAAAGGGACATGTGTTTCAAATAAAATGCTGAATTTCAGACACCCTTTTAAGACTTGGTCTATTTTTATTTACTTCAAATTACAATTTTCCTTTGTACTTTTGTGACAGAGACACATGTTCTAGTACAAGTGCAAAACAAGAATCACAATTTAATAAATATGGGCATGCATTTGAGCCATATGTTGTTCAGTGAAACTTTGATTTATTTACTTTATTCATAATATAGTATTATCATGTATGAATTCTATCACGTTACATGTAAAGAATGTAATTATTTTACATATGAGGTAGTTATGTCCATGCCCATGGAATCATAATAGGTACATCCAAAACAAGCATTTCAATTTTGAAAAACTATATAGTAATAACTGAAAAGATTATAACAGAAGTGTTATACAGAAATGTGTGAATGGGGAGTCATATACTAAATACAGTTTATGAGTTTATTCACTGTAGAATCATTTGTAGTGAGTTGATAGCTGTAAGCCTGCGTGGTCCTACATATGGCCAGCTCTCAGTAACATTAAACGTTTAAGTTACGTAAATATTTCTACAACTGTTATTTTTGGCTTGGATTTTGCAACTCACTTGTCACACTACCGAAGCTTGTATGACTAAACAAATACCATAAAGTGGAACGGTCAACTTTACATGTCCAGTTTTACTCATTCCAGGTACTGCCATTTACTAGTGTGAGATTTGTAATGAAGGTAAGTATAAAACGTATTATAAAGAGCATATAGTCATGAGCAATAGCTTTTGACCTTTTGTAAGAGATTTTAACTTGTTTTTAATTACTGTCTTCTAAGGTTTTTATTGGGTAAGTTAAAGAAATCCTCTAGGCCACTAAAGTACTTTAGCAAGATAACGAGTGTGTCCACTAAAAAAAACTTAAACTTTTAACAGACATGTTTACTTTTATAAGTAAAGCTTGTTACAATCCCTCTCCTCCAGTTGTCCATCACAGAACCTGTTCTATTACTTTATTCCTCATTGTTTAACTCAGTGGAGCTCATCTGAAGAGGTAGGTAATTGCTCAGAAAACCTGCCTTGGAATGACTTTTCATTGATCTGAATTGGGAAGTATGTGATTGGACAGCCACAGGAAGTCTGGGTGGGGTTAGAAGTGGAGGGATTGCAAAGACTTCTGACAAGAGATCTGCAGCTTTTGCAAGCTGTTTTTAATATAACCTAATGAAAAAATGCACAACTAAATGTATGCATATTTTCACAAGGGTTATATCTACTAAATCAATTTTAACATTATTTTCAGATAATTGTAGTACTGATAGTCACAAAGCAAATGGCTCTCTTAATAAAAGAAACACAGCAAACTCCACACTCCACTCCAAGTGCTTTTTGTGTGAGGATATCCTAATTTTAACTGCAGTTTAGAAAAGTTTATTTTAAAATTGTCAATTTTATAAATAATTGCAGCTACCCCTCTCCCCAGCTGTCAATATAACCATTAGTTTCACAGAGCTAAAGCACTCCTAGAGCACACCTGCCGTTTCCTCAAGTCACAATGAGTCGTTAAGAACACACCCATGCACACATCTCCACATGTCCCTGATTTCTTTGTGGTTCACTACAAGTGTGTGCTTAGAAAAGCATGCACGCTTGTAGTTTAAGATCAGAAGTTTCTCAGGGAAGAGCTTCTTCTTGGTCATTTCCCTCGCACTGTCTATAAAATGGAGACGGCTTGCAAAGGTTGCAAATACGAGATTAAATGCATGCACGTTTTCACTAAGCGTATATCTACTAAATAATGCATTTTTTAATCGTTTTTTATTTTTACTTGGGAATTGGAGTGTTCCTGTTAAGTTCGTACTTCCTTGACTTTATAACCTGAGACAATGTTTAGACCAACATTACAACTTAGGTTAAAATCAACTATAAATTTGACTAGCCCCTTGCTGTCTTTCAAGTTAACTTTAATGCTTAAATCTCAGGATAAGCAATACAAAGCTTACTACAACCATGCCCCTACTGTAATTCAGCCTTGTCTAGGAACTCATAGAACTGTCACAGAATTACAGATGCCATGGACTCACATTAGATTTAAGATGCTGAGTTGAATAAAATGAGCACCAGTGCCTGCTTTGTTCTTAGAGGACCAACTAAACAGAATAATTGACAAGCCAAACATCCAATCTTGATGTCATGCAAAATAATTATAATACATTTTCATAGGTTATACCAACTTATCTGTTTTAAACTTACATTTTATTGTTTAAAGTTATTTAGAGGGAATAATTTACTAAAAAAACATATTATTTGAGCTCAGTTAATGTAAAATAAAGAGATAATTTTAATGACTAATAAAACTGATAATTAAAGTATAACTTCTTTGTGTTTATCATAACTTAGCTTTATCCTTGGAATTCAAAAAATAACACAATATTTATATTTACTGAAACAAGTTTCTACATGTATGTGTATTTCCCTTTCACAATGAATGTGTCCAATAACTTAATATTTTTTCTTTCTTTAGAGATCATAAGGATACTTCCTGACGACTGTGTCCATTAAGTAAAGAGCTACTGGTTACAGTATTTCTAACATTACTTTTCAGAGATGTCATTCGTACTGCAGATGAGTTAAGCAGATAGCTAGTAGACCTCTCATGATGAGCTTTCCTCCGACAACAGAGTTGGCTATTGAAGTGTCTTCTGAAACTCTCACTGAGAAGGTAAAGTGCAAAAGGGTTGACACAAGAGTTAGAAAAACTTAATACACGAGACACCAATGTGAGGATCATGTGCCCCAATGATGGATCTATTTCACTATAGTTAAAAGAGCGATACATATACAATACATGATTAGGAAACCAGCAGAGTGCAAAACAGCCAACAAAGACAAGTACAATTTTAGCCAGTCGCTTTCGGGTCTCCATCTGTAATCAGAAAAATATGAAAGTATGTTAATGATTATATTTGTATTATCCCAAATAAAATTTGGTGAACGATACATGGTAATACTATCTTATTGTTGATTTTATGCACACACACACATATATAGATATATCAGTCTACCTATCATTTTGTATAGATAGATAGATAGATAGATAAAAGGTAGGTAGATTGAGCATAATTTATTTGCATCACATCAAATTATACAGATGATCCTGTGTTCCTTCAACGATTTAATAAAGAAACCTGTATGCACACTATTTGTGTCATTTATCCTTTATTTGCAATATATTTGTACCATAATGCAATAAATGGTTCAAGGTAGGATAGCAACATTAAATAATGAATCATTAGTCAGACTAAAGTACACAGCAACATCTACTCATGGCTGGCTACATTAACTCTGATTTAATACAGCACAATCAAGGACAACACCAAAAACCATTACATGTTTGCTCAATCAGGTGGGACTTGTACAGTGTCCAGTGTTTTATATTGTCATATTTGTCTTTTTCAGTGTCCTACCGGTGATTTGCATTAAGACTATGAAAATATATATTCTGTCAGTGCACTGTAATAGATCACTTTAAAAGCATGTTTAAATATTGTGTAAACAGTTAACTGTTTTAAGCAGCAAACCCTATTTCCCCGGATATATCCATGGCAGCACTACGTATGGGGTATAGCTCCTCCCCTTCTCAATTGGACAGGAACACCTCCTAAATAAAAGAGACTCCCCCCTATACCCCCTCAATCTTTTTTTCCTGTCCACTTCTCAGGGACAGTGGAGTTTGCATCTCCTAAAAAATTTCTTTTGTGACTTATTTGGGTCTAATTGTACCCCTGGCCTATGGGGAGTTAAGCCTCTCTCCCCATGGAAGCCTCAGGACACGGCGCCTCACCAAGGGCGACCCCCTGGAGGATTCTCCCCTTAGCGACCGGGGAGCTATGCTGCAGTAACCCTATAGGTAGCAGCTGGATGTGCCAGACCCAAAGAGGTGGTAATTCCCACAGAAGGGTTCACCTACTTGCTGCAATAAACTTGGGCTTCTTGGCTTTCCCAATAAAGATGGCCTGCCCTATCCTCAGGATGTAAGTGGCAGAGAAATAAGAATTTACCTGACTGGGAGTGGGCTCCTGCTTCCTTGTAGCTGATCCATTTCGGTCGTGGAACGCATGGTGGAACGCACGCCGATATTTTCGGCACTTCCGGTTTCGGCACTTCCGGTTTCGGTACTTCCGTTTTTTTCGGCCTATCTTTTCCCTCTCTCCAGCAGTGGAACACAGGTGGAACGCATGCCAGAGAAAGGTCAGCAGCAGGGGGATGTACTTCCTGTTTGGCATCTTATATTTAAAGGGTAAGCACCTCTATTCTGTCTGTATGCTGTTTGATGTAATTCTGCATAACTGGATTAAACTTCTGTCTTCTGGCTGCAGGTAAGTGACATTTCTTGTCCTTTTATTGTAATTTCTCTATTCCCCACTCCTTTTCAAAGCAATAATTGGTTGCTGGAAATTCAAATTTTTTTTTTTTTTTTAGCTGCCCATACTATGGATTCCCCCGGTCAGGCTTCGAGAAATAGGTCGCAATCTAGAGGTTCTGAGTAAGTCACTACAAAAGTTTTAAAGAAAAAAAAGAGTGCATTTCAGACTTCTGACTGGGGGATTTTCAGTTCTACCCATAGGTCCTAATACAAGAAAAAGAAGGATAAGACCCCCTTATGTGAAGCTTGTGATGACAAGGTGCTTCCTGGGAAAAGGCTCTGCTTAGCGTGTCTTAAAGCAGCGTCAGGCCATGCTGAACCGGACCCAGATGTTCTCTCTTACATCCGTCAAGCAGTTTCAGAGGGTCTTCGACAGTCTGAGAGGGCTAAGAAAAGACGTAGATCTTTTAGCCTAGAGGAATATGCTGACTTAAGCTCTGATGAATATGTACCCCCAGTATTTGAGCAAGATGAGTTGTCATCTCAAGATGAGGAATATGGGGCCTCTCCTGTCTTTATAGACAGTGTGAAAATAGAAGCTTTAATCAAGGCAGTTCGTGATACCTTGGAGCTTAATGATAAGAGAGAGGAGGAACCAGCTTCTAGTAAGCATTTTGCTGACCTGAGAAGGAGTAATCCTACCTTCCCATTACATGAGACCATTGAGGACCTCATTAAGCAAGAATGGAAGAAGGCTGAAAAAAGAATCTCTATTCAGGGTCGTTTTTCTAAACTATACCCTTTTAAGGCTTCGGACAGTAACCATTGGGACCTTGCCCCCAAAGCAGATGCAGCTATTGTCCGATTAGCTAAAAAGACCACCCTTTCATTGGATGATGCCGGTACTTTAAGAGATCCAATGGATAAACGTATGGACTCAAATTTGTCCAAAGCCTATATAGCCTCTGGCTCTGGGCTTCGTCCTGCTGTAGCCCTGACATCTGTCTCTAGGGCCTTGAAGCAATGGATGGATAACCTTGAAGAGGACATATCAAGTGGAGTCAGTAGATCCAGGCTGCTGGAATCCTTAAGGAAAATGAAGCTGGCTATTGATTTTTCATCAGAAGCTTCCATAGATTTGGTTAAAACCATCTCCAGAAGCATGGTCCTTACTGTAGCATCAAGACGGGCTCTTTGGCTACGTAATTGGGTGGCAGATAATTCTTCAAAAAGAGCCTGTGTTCCCTCCCCTTTCAAGGAGAGATGCTCTTTGGCAAGTACTTGGATGAATGTATCAAAAAGGCAGTAGAAGGACGTAAGGCCTTTCTTCCTCAAGATAGACGTCCTAAAAGATCCTTTCTGCAGGACAGACGTTCCTTTCGCGACAAGGACTTTAGACAATACAGACCTGGTAGGGAGTTTTCCAGATTCAAATCCTGGAAAAGTGGTCTCTCCTCTTCCAAAACCACCCGAGCACGTGGTGGCAATGGTAAACCTTCAAAGCAATTCTGATGGGACGCCAGTCCAGCCCTTGGGAGTGGGAGCAAGACTTCTTCACTTCTACGAGGTCTGGGCTCCAGCAATACAGGACAAGTGGGTTTTAAAGACCCTAAAATCCGGCTACTACCTGGAATTCTCGACAATCCCTTATCCCCGGTTCATGTCTACAAGCATGCCTATGGAAGCAGAGAAAGCAGTGGCCATTTGGTCTTTTGTTTCTTCCCTTTCAGCAGAAGGAGTTATATGTCCTGTTCCTGCAAAAGAAAGAGGATTGGGAGTTTATATCAGACTTTTTCTCACTCCAAAAGCATCAGGGGAGTGGAGACCAATTTTGGACCTTCACAAATTAAACGAAAATCTGTATGTGAGAAAATTCAAGATGGAATCCATAAGTTCCATTATAAAAGTCATCTCCCCAGGCGACTGGTTAATCTCCATAGACCTTCGAGACGCTTATTTTCATGTTCCTATTGCTCCACCACACCAGAAGTTCCTGAGATTTGCGATTCACCATCAGCATTTTCAGTTTCAAGCCCTTCCCTTTGGCCTGAGCACAGCTCCCAGGACTTTCTCAAAGATCCTGGTTGCCTTAATAGCACATATCCGTCTGGAAGGCATCTCAATATTCCATTATCTCGACGACATCTTGATTCTCTCACACAGCAGAGATATTCTCCTTCTTCATCGAGATCAGGTTCTTTCAATTCTTCAAAAATTTGGATGGTTGGTAAACCTCAAGAAGAGTCAGCTTTCCCCCTCTCAAGTTATGATATACTTAGGGGCAAGATTTGACACAAAACAGTCACAGGTCTCCCTATCCTTGGACAGGGGGCTTCGTATTCAATCAAAGATCCTTCGTCTTCTGCCTCTGAACTCCATCCCGGCCTGGGAATTTATGAGCCTTCTGGGAAGTTTGTCCTCTACAATAGGCCTTACGAAATGGGCCCAGTGGCATATGAGGATTCCACAAGAAGGGTTTCTATCCCAGTTTATGAACAAGGATCTGAATCAAGCAATCTCTTTATCATCAGAGATCAAGAAGGAAGTGGCATGGTGGCTGATGAACGAGAATCTATATCAAGGGTATCCTCTGAGCAATATCCCTTGGGTTACTCTCACGACGGATGCTTGCCAATCAGGTTGGGGAGCTCATTTGTGCCTTCTTCATGTTCAGGGGCAGTGGGAAAACAAACAGTATCCTCTATCCTCAAAAGTTTTAGAATTGCAAGCAGTCTTCCAGGCTCTTCTGCACTTTCCTTGTCTGAAACAAAGTTGGGTGAGAGTAAGGATAGACAATACCTCTGCAGTTGCTTACATCAATCATCAGGGGGGTACAAAGAGCAAACACTTAATGAAAGTGTTGACCCCACTTATGTCATGGTCAGAGAAGAATTTGAAGGGGATAAAGGCAGTTTACCTTCCAGGAAAGAACAATCAAGTGGCGGATTTCTTAAGCCATATAACCCTGGATCCCACAGAATGTGAGTTAGCCCCTCTGGCATTCCAAAGCATAGTCCAGAAGTGGGGTCTTCCTCAGGTAGATGGCCACAGCGAAGAATCGCAAAGTGGGAAGGTTCTTCTCACGTTACTTCGACCCTTTGGCGGAAGACCAGGATGCTCTCTGTTACGAGTGGAAGTTCCATCTGGGGTATGTTTTTCCCCCAACTCCTCTGATTTTCCCCCTGCTGAGAAGGATCCTGCAGGAGCAAGCGACGATTCTCGCAGTGATTCCCTTCTGGCCCAGACGGCCTTGGTTTCCCCTGCTGCAGAAACTCTCTCAGGACATGCCTCTGAAATTCCCAGATCAACTCAGTCTCCTCAGTCTCTCAATTTAAGGGCTTGGAAATTGAGAAGCAACGTCTCTCCAGCAAAGGCTTCTCTTCTTCAGTAATTTCTACTCTTCTGAATGCCAGGAAGAAGTCCACTTCTTCAGCTTACTATCGTATTTGGGACATCTTCTGTAGCTGGTGTTTGGCACATAATATTTCTCCTTTGTCTC